GCAATCCATGTCCAAACAGAAAAGTTCTCAGTGGTCCTATTTCAGCATATCTCAAGGACTAATTAAATCCTCATTACTATCTTCTAATTATTCCAGTGCTCTGGGATTTCACTGAGCAAGTCCCCAATGGTGCATTAGATGAAAAGGGTTAAATAACCTGTGTTGATTTTGAGGCTCCAGATCTATTTCAAACCTTTAGCATATCATCAGCATTATCATGAATATTTAACTACATACCGCTGTGAAAATTATAAGGGGAAAACAATTAAAGATTTTTTAAAAATTAATTCTGACCCATATACATTTGCACTAATAAATAAGGCTTCTTTAAGTATCCCCATTATGAGAGTGCTTGCCAGAGTAATAACATGAAGTCATTAACTGTTTCCATTAAATTCAATGGTTTTCGGGAGCTCCCAATTCACTATTTTAATATAAGACTGAAACATAATGTGTGCATATGCAAGTATGAAAAATGTTACTTTAAACTGGTACATTTTGGATGCTTTTTCTAAACTAGGTTTGGAACTACTCAGTTCTCCAGGAGTGAAAGTGTCTGTTTCAACACTGTAGTGACATGTTTTCTTCTGTTAGTGTTTACATATATGACTACCAATATGCATCTCCATTGGCCTGCAAACATAGGAGTAGGACTATAAGCTAATGGTCAGGATAGAAGAATTCTTTTTCAGCTAAGAGCTTCAAGAAAAAAAACTAGTTCCATGGTGTAATTTAGAAATGCTAGTTTCTACTTTATCCATAGAGATATTTTTTTTGGCCCAGAAAGCAGTTTTGGCTACTGAGCACACTGTCAAACTGCAGCTTCCAAAACTCAAACAGATGACATAGGTTGGTACAGTCAACAACAAGGAACTCAAGAGACTACTTATGAGGGTTGCTCCAAAAGTAAAGCCTCTCATTTTCTTTTGTTGGCCCAGGACGTCAGAAGTGGATGTGGGTGATGTGGCAGTAGAGATTCAACCTTCCCACCAATATTCCATCACATTTTGTTGCTGTGTGACAGATGGCAGTTTCCTGGATTGCATCATTACTGCTGACGATGGTGTCACCACTATAAGCCAGAGTCAAAACAGCATTCCATGGAGTGGTGACATGAATTCCACATCAAAGTAAAAGTTCAAGAAGTAGCTTTCAGTGGGTAAAGTGCTGAGTGCTGCTTTTTGGGATAGGAAAGGGGTGACTATTCTGGATTTCTTAGAACCTGGACGAACAATCAACTCTCAGTGCTACATCATGAGGCCAACTAAGCTGAAGGCTCAAACTTCCTGAGTCAGGACAGAGAAGGAGATAACCTTTCTCTTGTGACACCAGATCCTCAGGCTAGTTTAAAGGCTGTGGAGCACACTGGCAATATTGGCTGGACTATCCTACCACACCCACCACGTAGTCCAGATACGGCACCTTTTGACTTCCATTTGTTTAGGCTGATGCAAGATAAACTGTGTGGGCAACATTTTCTTAGCAACAATGCCACTACAGCAGCTGTGAAACAGTAGATCACCTCTGCTGGTGCAGATTATTACAAATGCAGCATGCAAGCTCTTGTTTATTGCTGGCAAAAATGCATGGATAATGATAGTGACTATGTTGAAAAATAGTGTTTTGTAACTGAGAATCTGCTATATCAAATAGTGTCCCTGTGCTCTTTGCATCTGTTGTCGTTTCCATGGAAATAAATAGGAGGCATTACTTTTGGAGTGGCCCACATACTTCAAGAATTCTCCAAGTGGATGACAGCTGAAGTATCACTGCTTCCTTACCTGTAGGGTCTGTAACTAAAGTTTATAAAGAGCTTTGACTTCAAGAAATTCAAAAAATAAAAACTCTGCTTTTGATCAGATTTTCATGTGTTATGCCTGAGCAATGGTCACTGCTAGGATTCAGAAGCAGTGAAATGCACAAGTAGGTAAGCTGGCATGGCTCACCAGCTTCTCCAAGAGACATCTGACTCCCATCCAGCACATCTTGCTCCCTCTATCTCCACAGCTCTCCAATTCCCAACAGTTAAGTTATACGGGACTTACTTCAACTATCAGTCCATTCAAAGACTTGTGAGCTGAGACATAGGTTACACCAAAAAATACGAAGAATTTCATACTGCCTACATAGATAAGGCATGTTGGTAGAACTGAAAAAGTTTTGTTTACTGGACATCAAATATCAGTGACTGGAAACTGCTATTGTCATGAGAAGTGGGATTCCTATAGCAGCACGTTCCAGATCGAAATGTACTAGACAAACGTGAAAAAAAACTAAAAAATTAAAAATTAAAAAAAATTATATGTAAGTATTTTTATGCTATCTTTATGAAAAGCATGCAAGCTATATAAGAAATAAATGAAAGAGAACAGAAAATCCAGTCCAGAGTCCCAAGAAATTCCTATTACTATACATACATATGGATGTTACCGCTCTTCCTCCTCCTCTCACACAGAATGCACATGTAAAAATACATCCACTGATTCATACTGCACTGTATGACAGGGATGTATAGCCTTAGGCAGGCAAACATAAAAGATACCAGCTAGGTGCTGAGTAACCATGGAAAGTAGGACAAAATATAATCAAATACTTAAATAATAAAATAAAGGTGTGTAAACCTAATGGTTCAAAGTAGTGGTTTAACATCCAGAAGTGCTACAGCTCAGACTCCACCTGATAATCAAATTTCACAATAGCCGATAAATAAGATAAGTATTGAGAGCAAAGGATTCTATTCAGGAAACGATTAGCAGCCTGCTCATTCAGTTATCTCTCTAAATAAGGAAAGAAATGTTATACAAAGTACTAAACCAAATGACTTTACCTTATCATATGGAGGGTCTCTAGGCTTTTTGTTTTCATTTTCTTTTCTTTTTTTTTTTCTTTTTTTGGTAGAAAGTGTATCAGTAAGCCACGAGTTTAAATTACTGTAACAGATGCCTATGGATCAGATGTCCTTAGCAGAAACGATTTTCTGCTCAGGTTTTTATCAGTAAATGACAAGCACCTTTCCTTTGAGTCTCCATCACTCCCCCTCCTTCCTTTCTTCAAGTTCAGTGGAAACCAGTTCAAGCAAGCAAAGGAATCAACTAATGTAACAGCCTTTTTAAAAGGTGAAGTTTTCCATTTCAAAGGAGCCTCTAATCAATGACAGGGCGCAAAAGGGAATGCACGCATGTTTATGCGCGTGCAGCACAGACTTAGAGAAAGAAGCTTTGGGGAACACGTTCTGCAAAATCAATATGACCTAGCTAGTTACAAATTTCATATCTTTTACATGAAACAAATAGATTTCTTGTACAAGCTGGGTCACAAGGATTGCGTGTATTACACCAGATTTTAATATGAAAGGTGCAAAAATTGTATTAACATTCCTAAATAATTTCATCTAAGAACACACCCAGAATCCTTCCCCTCAAAAGATGATTGATACAAGACTGTACCAGCTTGTAAATTTTATTTTCCCTCACTGTTATTTACTTGATTGACTTCCCAGTTATGGTAGCTATCTTCTCTGTCTTCTCTAACCGTGTAACCAACACCCAGTTCTGTTCTGTAACAGCAATCAAAAGGTTTAGCCAAACTTTACAGCTTTGTCAGATACACCTAGCTCATTCCCCCAAAGCCAGGTGAAGAACACAACACTGTTCCTCACTATTACTGAGCAGCATCACATTTTGTGCCAAGACCCAATCATGCCAAGAAACGCGCGCATCTTTCTGAAGTGTTTGGGTCTTCAAAGCCTCAAGCTGATCCACTCCCACTGTCTTGTGACATTCTGTCCTACAAAACATAACACATTTGCATCGAGTACTGAGGTCATTCTATTTCCACAAAGCATACACGTTACTCTAAAACAATTTTAAAGGGAAAATCGGTTCCTGCACTAATAACTGTGTATGGAGAATGACCTGAAAATGAAATAGAACAAACAAATTGAGTGTGGAATTTTCTATTTAATGTTCTCATTTATCAGCATTCCTGGAGGAGGTAACATCCAGCACAGAAAAACAGCAGAAATCAGGACTCTTTCCTCCTCTTTGTGAATCCTCTTAGTTCTTTCTGGATGCTGTCCCAGAAATTTGTCATTCTGTGAGTTCAACTTGTTTCACTGTGAGAAAACTTCCAGTATTTATGGTATCCCCATATGGTGCTACTTGGAATATTTCTGGTAGCAAGACATTTTAGGAGGGGCATTTCATAAATAACTCCATGTTTATCACAGTTATCATGTGTCTGTTTTGCAAGCTTGCTGCTGGCACATGTTAACCACTGCATGGACGGGGTGCCCAGTTTACAGCAGTTAATCATATGGCCATGTGAAAAAACTGTGATAATTCTCTTTTCATGAGCTAGGAAGGAAGGAGGTGAAAGGAAAAAAGTTTGAAGTTTATAAACAGTAATATTAAGAGAAAATAACCCACTGTTTATTTTGGTGAGCACTTGCTAGGAAGTTATGCTTCAGAACAGTGCTGTTGCCTGCAAGGTTTTTCTTTGGAAATTCCAAATCTTTGAGCCATTTGACCTAAATAGCTGATTTCCCTTTACACTTAAAGATATTTTTATTTCCAGAACTGGCCTAGAGGACAAGCTATCATGTCCATGCAAAGACGTTAGAGAATTGTAAGAACAGGATCAAACCACAGTGCTTGCAGCTACTACTATTTCTACAATACTTTCCATAGATCTCAATTCCAAGACAGACAACAAAAAGGTGAATTTTCTAGAACATAAATCAAGCATCTACAGCAAACTGTTTTTATACTTGTAAGAATTCACTGTATTTTAAGAAAGCCCCGTTTCCAATTATGTTTTGGTAAAACCTGATATTCAATTGCTCTTTGCACATAAAAGAAAACACTCAGGCAATAAGGATTGTCATTATTTTCTTTGGAAAAAGGAACATAAATACCAGCAAATCTCACATTGTTAATGCACAACTTGAAATGAAGGCTACATTTGACACCAGCATAAAAAGACCCAAACACCTAACAAACCTCGGTCCTGTGGCATTGGTGACTGGCTCAAAGCAGGGTGGGAGCTGGATTCTGACTGGCTGCCAGGAGGCTGTGGTGGCATCTGACTGCCTGTAACACACAGAGAAAAAAAAAGGGAAAACAGACTTGCTTTTAACATTACAGTGCACAAAACGAAGCCTTGCTGCATTTTTGAACCACTCAACAACAAAGAAAGTACCAGCTGTATAAGTCAAAGACAGAGTCCTACAGGTCTGGCTTTTTTCAGGATACTTTAGAAACCCAAGGAGGAAACACATATAAACATATTTAGCAACAGGCATGGTGAAATGTACGATTTTGCATTGAGCAAGTTCCCAACCTCACTGACACGATCCAATTTATAGCTGCAAATCTCCTGACACTTATTTCTGTTAGAGAGTTTAAGAAAATTCAAGTCTGCTGAACAATAGGGCCCATCCTGCCGAGCTTAAACTGGCCTCCTGCCAGGCAGACATGGCCTGCCGCCAACAATATTACCAACCAAAATTCAGTCAATACAGAAATGACTAACAACAACAGTTTAAAAAGTATTTCAATGAATCAGTGGTTTTAATATTATTTGACTGTCCATGTAGAACTTGGGAATAAAGAGTAATGCGCAGATGTATATGGTAAACGTGAAGCATATTTGAAAGGGATCAGACAGAAAAGGGGTGTCTTATTATTCAAGTAAAGGCAAAAGAAAGATATTAGCTTGCTGAAATATCCACCCAGAACAGACAGACTCATTTCTACAGCTTCGTTCAGAAGACACACACATGTCCATCTACCCACAGAGGAAGAATGGCACCCACAATGCTGTCTGTGAGGTGTAGGACACTAAATCTCCCCTTTCAATAGGCTACATGATGCTTAATGCTGGTGCTCATTGCACTGGTTAAAGAGATCACAGAGTCACATCTCTGGGTCTCCATCCAACCCTGCATCTGTCCTTCCACCCTAGCAGTGCTACCATGCCCAGCATCCAGCCTGCTGCAGCCTGGGCAGGGGGAGGACTGGGGCAGGACGGCTTCTGGACTCCTGCTTTGAGATGTGGCTGCTTTCAATAGCCAAAGGCACTTGAAGACCACCTCAGGTTAGGCAACAAATATATATTTTAAGCACTTAGCCACTGCAGTGACAAGCATGTTATAAATAGCAGCAGACAGATTTATATCCCTCATCCTCAGAAACTGCTCAGATTGTTTTCCGTTTAAAAGAAATGGAAAGAATAAAAACACATGAAATAGATTTGTGCCTGCTGAGAATCATTTCCTCGTGCTTAGCAGCCACCCTTTTTTAATGGCTGAGGCGAGGTTCCTGTGGTTATTTCTGGAGCTGGAAGCCCAGCTCAAGAAGAGCCAGCAGGGGTTGCTCTTTCTTTAGAGCTAAGAAGGCCCGAAGCTGGAAGTGAACTGAGGAAAGGGGCAGTGCCTGCCCTACCAGGCTTGCTTCCCAGAGTCATGGCCACCACCTATGGCCAGCCTGCACATTGACACCAAAAAAAAAAAGAGAGAAGCGTAATGAACAAAAGGAAAACCCATGAAATGTGACTGTGTAACCAGTGCCAGCTGATGTGTCTGTGCACCGACAAATGCACGACTGCGGCCATGCCTGCGGCACCACTACCAGGCAGCATGCTACAAGAAAATCTCAACTGCTTTTGTCATCGTTTTTCCCAAGAACCATTGAAGACTTTTAAAATACTTAATGCTATTGGTAGATGCAGAGGTACTCCTGACTGCACCCCACAACTCCCAGTGGGATCCTGTCTGATGGTGGCTTGGCCAACCTTAGGAGGCATTCATGTAATGCAGAAGATACATGCTAGGCAACATACTCCAAATACATTTATAGCAGGTGTTCAATTTTTTACATTGGTATTAAGTTCAATTACCTGGCAGGAGCCCTATCCTACACATGCAGATGTGCAAGCACAGACAGGGAAAGTCGAGCTCTAGAGCTGAACACATACGACACGTTACAGAGAAATCATCTCCATCTGCAATCTTGGAAATACACACTCTACAAATTCAGTGGAATTCTCTACAGCCTCTGTAAATATTCATGCTCTTTTTCAGTTCACTTTTTAAAGCTTGCATTCTGATCTTGTTGGTTTGTTGTTTTTTTTTTTAATTGAAAGAAACCGGAGGCCTAAGATTTTATTTCACAAAAGAAAACAATTTCATAAACAAGACAATCGCCTCCACATATACTCTAAGAAGGAATTAACGTGCAACACAAGTGGCCATTATGCTAATGATCACGGAGTGCTACAAATTATCCAGACTCTGGACATGCCAAGTATTGCACAAAAATATTTTCAGAAAACCTGTCGTTTTATCCTTAGAAGCGATGTGAAAGGTAAAAGGATGTTAAGCACCTAAATACCTTTGAAGGCTTGAACTGAACTCTTAATTTGGGTATCTAACTCCTATTGATTGGAAGAGGATGACAGGACTTTGAAGATTCTGTCCGCCACGCTTTTTAAGTTTCTTTGTCAAGAAAAGAAATGACCTTAAAGATTTTTCATTTCTTTCCTTTAAATGATATTAATCCTCCTCCCTTTCAACCAGTATTGTAGTTGGTATCCTTGGAAGTGGCTTTAAATAATACATGATCAGACTTCTGTATTTTATTTGGGAAGGAAAACTTCTACAAAAGAAAAAAAAAAAAACAACAAAAAAACAACCTCTTTTCTTTTTAAACATGAATTCTACAGCTTTTTAAGAGAATTAAAAAACAATACATTTTTTTCCACCGACAGGCTACTGCCTCCTTTGACCCCATGACACACAGATGGAAGTTTAAACAGGAATGACCTTTTCCCATTTTTTGTATAGTACTGTTGGCACATTGGTGAGATAATGTACCTGCTAAGGCTTACACAAAGCGAGCACCACAGATATTTCACAGTATTTCCATTATGCAAGATCACAGCAAATGCATGTTAAAATGATACGTAATGCCATACCTGTTTATTTACCTAGATTTAACATATGAGCTAAATTATTTCAGAATGTATAGAGTTATCTTAAAATTAGTTATTAAAACAGATTTTTTTTTTTAAACAAAGTCAGTTAAAGAAGTGAGAGAATCTAAACTACTAAATAACTTAGCTATAAGCTTTATTTCTATTCTTGAAATTACATTAGAAATGCCTTTAAACATTTTGTATGGGACTTTTAAAATCTATGCTTGAAATAGAAGAGACTTCATTGTGCTTCTGGAAAAAGGTGATCTATGAAAAGTACTAAATGGTGATTGCATTATGACTATAGCCATGAAATCTGCAGTTAAAGTGTAAAAAGTAAATTCCTTAGAGCCAACATAGCAAGAAAGAGCAGACCTTTGATATCCTGCTGAGGAGGGGTCCTTGTGATGAATTACTGCCCAAATCAGTAACGTTTTGAAACATGCTGAGGGCTCTCTGCTTCCATCAATGTAATGACACTGGAGGATGCTCAGCAGCAGTACTCTGCACTGCTCTGGACAATACCTCACGGAATTGCGCCTGAACAATTGAATCAAGAAAGCACTTCAGTGATAACAGGTTCCCCCTGGGAAATTACTGGTTAAGGAGGAAAGGATGGATATCAGTACAGGAATTTCAAGATGCATGAGGAAATGGGGATCAGGGGGACAGATCACAGAAACAGACTGTGCTGAAAGGGGAACAACAGGCTCGGGCTGCAGGAAAGTCAGTAGTTAAAGGTCTTGTGGGCTGTCTTTGGGCCAATTCTCAATCTAATTTAGGAATTAAGCCGTAGAACTGTATTAATGACATTGGTTAACTACAAAATAGGCAAGTACGGTCAATACAACAGATGGTCAAAATACTACCTAGGAAACTGGAACAAGTTTAATGTTGGAGTAACAAAAACGCAAAAATCTGTACTTACAGATAAGAAAGAGGATTATCAATTAGAAATTGGGAAAGGCAAACCGGAAAAAACTGAGCATATTTGTTGCTGATTACAGCTAAACACTTACTGTGACCCTGAGTCAAACAAATATATTACTAGGATGAATTAAGGGAATTATTTCTAGCAAAGGTAACTGATGTGCTACTAATGAGCCTTCAAGCACATAAAACTTGGACTAGAGGACCTTGGAGGCCTTTTCCAACTCTGGTGATTCTATGAAAACCAAAAAGGCCCAACTGGAATGGGAACTGAGAATGTCTATGTGCATGACAGGAGATCAAAGGCATGCATATTATTTAGCATGACAAAAAGTAAAGCTCCAATTTTGTGACTTTGTTTTAAAAATATATCTGTGGCCAAATATCAAGGAGGAAAAAGAGCACAGTGTTTAGGATGATAATCAGACCATTATTGGAATTTGAAACAACTTCCTCTTAGGAATAATGAGGTCCAGGAAACCTAGTGAGTACTAAGATGAAATCTGATAAAATAATGGGATTATATCACAGTTAATGTGACAGTAGAGGCCCACAGGCCGGAAAGGACACTTGGTTTCAGATCCCTACATCAGATCATAAATAGGCTTCTGTATGGGATTATTTTAAATGGGCTTTTCAGGAAATTGGAAGTGAGGTGCAAATGACCCCAGAGGAAAGAAGTTCTTCTATGGGCAGCATAAAGGCAGGCTGGTCATGCGGTTTGTGTTATCTCTTTCATCTTACAAAGCCTATGACCCCTAAAAAAGGAAGATTATTTTCTTCCTTAATTTATACATTGTAACCAAGCTTTCTGTTGTACCAGTAGTATTTTTAAAGCAACTTACTCATCTGAATAATAAACAACGGTTGTCTGAATATCCCTCAAATTAAGATTCACAAAACATTAATACTCTCCTCATTTTCATATGGTAAGAGATACTTCAGAAAGCCAGCAGCATGGGAAACCATTCAGATTTCCAGGCCCATACTCTGGCTACCCAAACAGCTGGGGCATTGCTGACCACCTCAGAGTGCAATGCAGGCACCTGTGCCTGAACCAGGCCTCCTGGCCCCGCTCAGTACCACACTGCAGCTAACAGCCCTTGCAAGCAACAGCAGATCTGGCAATTCTCTGCTGCCTTCTCACTAAGGCATTTTCTGAGACCTGGGAGTTCAGACAAGCCCA